GAGACTTTCTGTAGTTTTTCTTTAACTTCAGTTTGATTTTTAACCTCTTTTACTCTTTGGTGGCTGATATTTATTTGTCCCACTTTGCTGAAGTGGGTTATAAATTCTTTTGCTGCATCCTTTTCTGTTTTGATCGTGTTTTCAATGTCGATGACTATGGGAGTAGCTCTGTTTTCTTCTTGGTTTAGCCTTTTTGCAATACTCCATAGTTTATGACCATCTCTATCTACATTGAGGTGTTCTGTTTTTTCTTGCCAGCTTTTCCTCAATGCAGTTAGATACTTTTTTCTAAAAACTGCGTTTGCTGATTTTAATTTTATGTTATTCTCTACAGTGGGATTTTCTTCAACAATGTTTCTAGCATTCTAGTTTCTCGTCATGGAGTATCTGGAGGTCTGGAGTCCAGTTTGGGATATAATTTTTCCTTGCTCTCCTTGGAATAGATTTTTTGGCTGCTAACAGAACTGCTTTTGAGAAGGCTGTGTATTACTTGTTCACCTGTTTGGTTTTACAGTTGATTGGTCTTGTGTAGGAGTCTGTGAGGGAAGAGAAGAGCTCCCAATTAGCTTTTTTGTAGTTCCATCTAGGGCGGGGGTAGGCTTTAATTGGCCTGTTTGATGTTTCTATCTGGATCAGGATTGGTCGGTGGTCGCTAGTGGCTAGTTGATCTGCAACTTCTCTTTTGCATTTTTTGGATATGCCATTAGTAGCAAAAGCTAGGTCGGGGGTAGACGTGGTTAACCAAGACCTTGAGTAAAAAGTTGGTTTGTCATCAGGTTTATTTAGAAGGATGAGCCTATTTTCTGCTTGCCATTCTTCAATTTCCTCTCCTTTAGCATTGAGGTCAGGGTAACCCCAGCTCTGGGAGTGGCTGTTCATGTCTCCCACAACCAGGCACTCTTCGCTGTTTGGCAGGGAGATGCGGTCCAGTTCCAGGTCCTTATCAGGAGGACAGTAGCAATTGAAGATATTTAGGTTACCTTCTGCAAGTATGAGTTTGGTGCCCATTATCTCAGATGCTGTTGAGTTTGGTATAACGATATCTGTTGTTGGAATGTCATTTTTTATGAGAATGAGGATACCTCCTTTAGGTCTGTTTTCCCTGTCCTGCCTTATGCAGGTGTATCCTCAAATAGAGAAGCGAAGATTGTTGTTGAGGTGAGTTTCTTGAATACAAGCAACGTCTACTTTATTTTCATGTAGGAATATTTTTAAGGCTTCCTTTTTTTTTTTAACTCCCTCTGCATTCCACTGCAGGATAACAAGTAATTTGTTGTTTTCCTCACTATTTTGGCCAGTAGAATTTACCTTCTGATCCTTGCCCCTGGCTGGCCAGGCAAGAATAGAGGAACCACCAGCTCGCTTTTGTGGGCTCCTTCGAGGCGGAGAGCCCGGCCCCCTACCTGCGCGGCGGGATTCAACAGGCAGGACGCCACTTCTGTTAGTCTTATTTCTTTCCTCCATCATAAAATTAAGCAGTGCGTGCCAGCATGTTATGCGCCATAATAGATGGCCCGTTGACTCCGACTTCAGCCTGCTTTTCTTTCTGGATTTGCTTCCATAGCCTTTGATCACCCAAGAACAAACTACAAGGCAGTAGCTGTTTGATTTTGGAGTTTTCAGTAATTTATAATTTGTGAATTCGACAGTACCAATGCTGCCATTGAAAATATTTGCTTAAAAACACTACCCCCCCCCCCCCACGTGAAAGCAGCCTCCTCTTAGTTACCTCCTCTAAGTTTAAAATCGTTTCAAACTAAATTATCTGCCCCTAATAGCCGTCACCAAACCCGTCTCTGTGATTGTAAAATGTAAACAGAGTGAACACCGCTCACCAGATCATGTGGGGGTGGGGTGGGGGTGGTAGTGATAATGATAGAGAGGAAGAGAGGGGACTGCAAAGGCGCGCTTGCAGCTTGTTTTCTAACTGATCTCAGAAGAGAATTATATATATAGATATTCGGAAAACGAGGTTTAAAGTTTTATTATGACTGCCCTACCCTGTAAACTTCAAAGAATAGTAAGCATTACACTGATACCCATGCCTCACCCTCACTATTTGATATGCTTCCGACCTTTATTCATATAGCAGTATTGACAAATTTGCATATACGGCAGTCTACTACACAACACACATCGTCAAATTATAGGGCAATTTAATTAGAACAAATATATATTTCACAATCTTTTGACAACTTAGAAGTATCGCAACCAATGTAAAAAAATATTATTTATTATTTAGTATGTTTATTTTTCTACCTGTCTCTACCCCCTCCTCCCCCTCGTCACACATCGTCACAAAAGTCTGAACCCCCTCCCCCCCTAGGCGTGTGACGTCATTTATGGACGACCCCTAACTTCAAAAAATTTTATAGGGAAAAACTACTGGCCAGTTTTGATCACTCACTTTGCAGATTTTTTTCCGGATATCGCGAATTGTATCGGAAACACAGGCCTTTTACTACCTTCTCACAAAGAAGCAAGGGGGGGGGGTCGTTCGGCAAAGTTATTTTCCGATATATAGCTCATATAAGGCGCGGGTCATTCGAGGTCGGATTTGAACTGATGATCGTAGACTTTGCGGTCCACCGGCAACGACCCCCATTTTCTGTTGGCTCGATGCAGATGCCTGCCTAAATTGGGCGCCTGCGCCCCGATCGGGCACCCGACCACTTTACTTTATAAATATTTAATGATATGTAATATTGTTTTAAAACCTCAAAAAATAATTTGTGAGAACAAGATACGCATGTTTTCGATAAAAATTTAATTTTGCTCCCCGAAATTTTTTTTTCTTAATTCTGTACTAATACCTTTTATCTATCTAACCCGAACATTTCGGACTTCTACAGCTTACGGTTATCCGTTTATTGCGATGTGTAACATGGTACCCCCCCCCCCCCCCCGGCAAGTTTTCACACTACTACGCGGATAGCGGCTATCTTAGAGCCGGTATTACATCATTTATTGCCCTCGAGGCCCCATAAAATTTACAGCAATCTAAAGGCCAAGCACTCGTGTACCCGCTGGTGTAGTGACCTTATCTTTTGTTCTAGAAATAAGTGGGATAGAAGTTGTTTTCTACAAAGTAAAATTTTATATCAAACTCCATATAAGGGCATGTGCGTAAAAATTATGAATGGGGAGAGATTCATCTATACGCTTGACCAGTCATATTACAGTACTTTAAATCAAAATAATTCACCATAGTTTGCAACTAACCACGTGTGCTAGGCAGCCATCTTGTTTCTAGATAAACAAAACAATCGCCTGCCTTAGTTTGTTACTTTATTTGCATATACTCTTCTATTTGTTGTTTTAAAGTTATACAACAACATTAAGCTTAATAATTGAAACTGCCTAGAAATGTACTGTTGATTGTCAATGGAACAATATTTAACACTGGTTCGTACGCTTTATACTAAGCTGAAACAATGCGTCATGAACATTATCAGTTTGAAGAATGTACTGTCCATCCCCTTTACCCCCTCATCCCCTTCTCGCCATTCAACCAACGGCCGATTTATAATCTTGTTACGGCATGGTGTGATAGGCTTGAACGCGTTCATCAGGCTTTACACCGGACTGTATACGACACATGTGTTAATGTGTATGCCCATCTCTCCGTATAGGGTTTGCTAGCAACGAATGTAAATACTTGATAGGATAGCTGAGAAGCATTTACTTAGGTCCTGTACTCAGTGTTTTTTCCAGACTTTTTTCTTCGGGGGGGGGGGGGGGCACTTGAAATTTTCGGGGGGGGGGGGGGGGCGGTAGACTTTCTTCGGGGGGCGCACACTGTTAAAAGTATATATTTTCTATATAAATTATATACATTTCATTTTGTTCGGGGGGGGGGGGGGGCGGTAGAAGAATGCCTGGAAGGAACTCTGCCTGTACTTGACCCTATCTACACAGATGTGTTATTCGCGGTTGAATGAACATTGGTAATCTATGGCTCATCGGTTCTTCACGCACTATCCAGCGATGGGGTGGGGTGTAGGGGCGTGTCTAGCCTCAAGCTTTGTACTCAGTGTTGTGTAGTAGGCTATTATCATAAGACAATAAACTTGTGTAAGCTACAATGTAAGTAGAGAAAGACATTGTTTTGAAGTGAGAAGACCGGCTAACAAACAAAACTTGATCTGTTTTGATGATAGCTGTTCTGAGAATACCGCTCGATTGATAGGATGAGTAATACTTAATAGTCATATATTCATTACCTGTTGTATACATATTTTCTGCATACATAGAAAAATCTGTCTAAAACTTACAACATAAATCAAAGCGTATTTTATTAGACAAATGGTTCTTCCACACATAACAAGACGTTTTTTTTTGTTTTCTATAAGAGAAAACGCTAATCTTTTCACTTTTTCTCAACTTTGCATTTTTACTCAAAATTCAACATTCAAATCGCTAAGTTTTTAAAACCCTTGGTCATACAAGACTAAATAATTTCACGTGCATTCAACATTACACCATCTACAAAACTACGTTTGTAGATTAAGTTTACTACAATACTTTAGGAAATATTGATATTTATGTAACACCACCCCCTAATTTGTGCACATAAATTTACTTAAAAATGAGTAAACGTAGAAATGTTTAGTTTGGTTTGAGAAATCTAAATCATCCGCTTTTAAAAATCTCTTATGGGAACAAAGTTATAGCGCTTTGAAAAGATGTTAGTTTTCACACCTTTTCGCGGTTTCCATGGCAACCAGTACTGCTATTGACGGCTATATATTATTTTTGTCTATAGTTTAACAACTGTAAACATATGAACTTATTAAACACCCAGAAATGTATTAAATAAAAAAAAATTCAATCCGTAGTGCCTATCTATAAAACCTCAAAAAATAATTTGTGAAACATTCTATTTTTAATGTAGTTTAAGCTATTTGAACAAGTAAGGGCCTTTTACAGTTAATTTTTCGTAAAATCCAGTAAGTACTTAACAAAATATTTACATAAATTTTACATTTAAAAAAACTTACATGAGCGAGCTGATTTGCAAGTCTCTGAAATTAAAATTAAACATCAAACAATAGATGTAGTGTATTCAATCCTTCCGTCTAAAGCCGAATGGTTAATGCTTGTGTTCGATGTTAAAGCTTACACGTACTGAATATAACTATATTTAAATAGTACCGCCCCTATTACTTTGGGCGGGGCAATTATTTATTTATGTCTGGTGTCTAGAGTTTCCTGAGTGAACACATTGACAAAATTAAACAATGGGCGTGGTAGGGCGCCCTTGCAGTACTGTAGGCCTATACGCCATAGCCATAGCCATAGCCATAGTCATAATCATAGCTATAGCCAAGTGCACAGCCACAGCTAAAGCCAAAGCCAAAACCATACCCATATTCATACCCATGCCCATACCCATACCCATGCCCATACCCATACCCATACCCATACCCATACCCATACCCATACCCATATCCATACCCATACCCATACCCATACCCATACCCACAGCCACATCCATGGCCATAGCCATCGCCATGGCATAGCCATTTCCATAGCAATGGAAATTTCAGTGTTAATATTACTTACGCTTAACTTGTTGTTTAATACAATCCAGACAGCAAACAAAGGAATCTAAATCTAGAAATTATCGACCGATAGCAAGCGTTTTTACTCAAGTCATTCGGATGATTCATTACAATGTAAACTTTTCGCGCTGAGGCTCTTCTGCTACGATATCAAATCTGCCTTATTGGAAGTTAATTGGGCACTTTCTTATTTCGTACGATTCATTAGTCTCCAACATACATGAACACACACAACACATGCAATAGATAAAGTATTATATTTTGTCTAAGTCTTGTGGCGAAAGGGTGGTTGTCCCTCAGTCCTAATACGTTTGGGGTAATGAAGATGCTGGTTATGGTGTTGACCGCACAGTAGGCCTACTTACATAATATGTTTAGGTCAAAGAAGTTATTTTTATTTAATTTTTCTGATTATATGTTTTAAGTGGACTAACTAGAGATAATAAATAAATATTTTTATAAAAGTAAAAGTAAAGCTCCTCTTAAAGATCCATACTATAGATGACGTAGAGTTTATCAGTTACTTGAGCGCAGCTAGTGTTAGGGGATGGTGTCTCTGCACTATACCCAGCTCACTTTGCATTGCCTAGCGTGGACTCATCCTACACATTCATTACTTTGTGAAATGTAGCCAGAAAGTGTTGAGTTTGCCTTCAGTGGGAATGTGGTATGGGTGGTCCATTAGTGTTTTAAAGATTGGGACAGCGAAGAAGCTGGCTATAGTGTTGACCATTCAGACTACGGAAGTCAAAGAAATAAATTTTTCCTTATATTGTTTGGTTTTAAGTGACGAACACTTGTCACAGGCCTTTCTCCTACCTTTTATATTACACATACAAAAGTTAAGAGAACGTATTATAATTGTGATGATTAATTAAAATATGTTTTGACAGACTTCGCCGCTTTACACCTCATTGCTTTAACATATACGCCTACGGAACATAAATGATGCAGTGCAATCGAGCATAGAGTAGAAAATTCGAAATAGATATTTTGAAAAACTTCGACGTTTTACATCTTTCTGGAAGGAAAAAACTTTTTTTTTTAATTTGTCTATGTGTTTGTGTTGCGATAAATACGTTAACTTGAGTCTCGTGTTCAGTTGTTTTGATGAAATCTCATTTATAAATATTATATCAAATTAGATCTGTCAACTTTTGAGCGGTTTTAGTAACTTTCAGTTTTTCAAACGCTAATAACTAGAGCGCCGTTTAAAGTAGGTAGACAAAATTTCATATATTTGTATTAAATTATATGTTCAGTAGTCTACCCACTTTGATCTAAAGGTAGTACTTTACTTTATTTACACACTTTAATTTGAGTAGTTTTAGATAGGTGAAAGAAATTTCATATATAAGTATATGATCTTAATACTTTAACATTATTTGTAATTTTTGATGAATTACTATAATTCCGGTTTCTAAAATAATGGTAACGTAAGTACCGTTTTACTTAGGTTAAAAAATTATACTAATGTGTAATATCTTATTTTGTTGGTTCTGTTAAATAAAGAGTGCTTTTATAAGACCGAAAGTAGAACTTTTCAATTTATCAAAAATTTTCACTTCGACTGGACAGTTTCTTTCAAACTTTTCACATAGGTTAAGATTTATAAACAATGACTTATTAAATAAAATAAAAGTTAATTAGATGTTCAATGAAGAGTTTTTTTTTATTAATCGATTTTTCGATTTTAAAGTAGGCCTACTAATATTCTTCTTAAATTTGCACGCATTTTTTACGTTCATTTTGGTGCTCCATTATTATTTTTTTAAAATTAAAGTATTTTTAAAAAATAAATAAAACATTTCTATTGCACTGAAAGTGCCAACCCTCATATTGTAATATAAGAATGGGCGAGAAAGTTTAGGGGAGATTTTTATTTTGTTTCAGAAAAATTAACGCTAATATGTGCTAAACTTATTTCACCATAGTGAAACTGTGTTAATAAACAAGAGCCAATTTAGAGCAGTCTTGTCATTAGTGCCTACATGGAGTGGATCTGCTTATCCTGGAGGGAGTATAATAAAAAGTGCACAGGAAAAAAATATACAACGTAGCTTCATCTCCAATATGAATAACCTCAACTAATACATAATAAGAATTTATGTCATTATCTTGCTCAACTTACTATCTACATTCATTTTATGTCATTTATAACCTACTTGGCCTAGCAGGGAGAAGATGAGACAGGAATTAATCCCAATACTCTTTCCCTAAAATTTCTCGTCTCCATAAAACAATGTTGATATATTTTTTTTCCAAATAGACACAAAAGTGTACGTTTTTTATGTGAAAAATAATATGCTGCAACAAAATTTAATTGCATCGAAACCTAAAATCCAGATACATAACTGTGGACGGGTCTACGACCAGTTTCCAAAAGACACGCGAATGCTACAAACGCCCGATTGGATACTTCCCCGGAATGGGACATATGTACGAATAGACACTTACCCGAATATGACAAATGCCCGATTGAACTTTTGCACGACAGCCACTATACTCTTTACAGGTATCCTTGAACAAACCAGTAATATAAGAATTGTAATTACATTTTTTAAAAAACCTTTTTTAACAAAATATTTTGAGATATCATGGTCGTAGCAGTGCCCATAATAAGCTAGGTGGAGTTCACCTGTTTCATTGACATTGGCATATGGAGCGAAAGCGATGCCGGAATAATGGGATCATGCTGCTGGGTAAAATATAACGAATTTAGCTTTGAAATAGCATTGTAAAATACCATGAGAACAAAAAGAAAGAAATAGACAACCTTATGTGGGGTGGTGGACCACTATCCTGGATACCACCAAAAAAGGTCTTCACAGTGACCTTGACAATAATAACACTGAGCATAGACCTACACCTCGTAATAAATACAGTAATGTTGTATAATGACAAAAATACCCATTGCAGTGCTATTGAATACCCACATCTATGGCATTATACTGGCATTTAGTACCAACAGCACTGTTATTGAGTACCCACATCTTCGGCACTAAGTATCAACATGAGCACACATATTCAGCACTAAGTACCCACAGCAGTGATACTGAGTACCCACATCAACGTTATCCAACAACTCCAGCGCTGAGTAACCACATCAGTGACACCAAGAACCGAATGCGGTATCACTGAGTACCCACAGCTTCAACAGTGAGTACTCACAGCTTCAGATATCCACTGTTTAAGCTCTGAGTACCCGTAGCAGTAGCAATATGTAGCTACAACACTGTCATTAGTAATCGGTTGCAGTGTTATTTCAGAACAACAGCAGTAGCATGTAGTACCAAAATCATAAATATTGGGTACCATCAATAATAGCAGTGAGTACCTTCACAAGTGGCACTGAGTACCCACAGCAGTGACAAGGCAGCTGCATTGAGCATGCAAGACAATACAACGGCTGAAAACTGTCATTATTTGACAGTCCTATTCACGTGCTTTGTGTGTATATCAAATATAGGTCGAATGAAAAATATGCATCTTTTCTAGTTGACCTTGAATGAGAGTTAACGAAAAAGGCCTAATCAGGGACAACTAAGGCCATACACATTTAAGAAAGTCCTTTCATATGTAGCGTGAAACTGTAGTGTAGTAGAACCACGATACCCATGCTTCAAAATACGCATTCATAAGCGGTAGACAGTGATCAGGTGCAGCAGAGTTATGTAACTCTATGCCTGAGCTACTAACCTATAGTTTTCATGAATTTTACAAGTGAGTCTACATCTCATTGCGTGTCCATTTGCGCTGGATGTCGCAAATTCGCGTCATATCGTATTTAAAAATAAGTCGAAATTTAAAAACAATATGCCTCAAATTCAGTGTCAGTATAATGAGAGAAAATCAGCACAAATAATTTTTTTACACGCTTCGAACATAATTCAGGCATTAAGAGCACTTGCGGGAGGGGATAATCTAATGCCATACAATAGATACATCTATACAATTCTTGTAACATAGCATGGTTGAAAATGTATTCATCCATAAAACCTTTAATAAAAGTAGGGTTTTGCAGAGAAAATCTCTATAATTCTATTTCTAAAATTGTGTTAAGCTTTTATTCTATTTATGCAACAGATTGTCAAACTTATGATTAGATAAAGTTTTACGTGACTTATAGAATACATATTGTATAAGTCACTTGCATTCATGCAAAACATAAAATTTAGTGCAATGCTTAGGCATTGTGCAGCTAATATGTATCACAAACTACCGCCACCCCCCTCCCACCCCGCTATCCCCTCCTCTTTTCACCGACACCAAGGAGTGGACTGGACCAAAGAGATGTTCCTTATGGTTGCCGGGACAAGGTCTAGGTGAGATGCCAGGGTCAGTGTTGTAATGGGCACATTTAAAAAGAACCTTTTCTTTTAAATGATCCTTCTGATTTACGTGTTTTGTAACATACCATATTAAAAGGGGGCAGGTACACCCAGAATCATTGAAAAATCGTTTTTTTCAAATAATGTTGTATGGTGAATGTTATTTTATTCAGAATCCATTTCTCTATTTGTCTGTATGCATTAATTTGACCTGAGTGAAGTTTTTTTTAGTTATTAGCTTCCAAAGTGGGTAGGGGTAGTCCGTCAGAATGTAAAAAAATGGGGAAAATGTCGGACGGCAAGCCTTTTACAACACTCGGAAACGAACGATATAATAATAAATATAAACAATAAACACTCCCTTTACTATTAGAATAATTAGCTACTCCCTATTTCAAAATAGATCTACTTCCTATTTAATATTTTTATTATTTTATACTTGGAATAATGACACATTTCACGGTTGAGGTATTAAAATTTACTAAAACTAAACTAATATAGAAAGTGAGTTTTCTAAGTATAAAAGATTGTTATATGCAATCTACAGCTAGTGAAACTAGAAAAAGACATAGATTATGTTTATTTAAAATAAAACAGACTACCTTGCTGAGTAATAAAAATACATAAATAAAAATAAAAGTTTGTTTACATTTGGTAACCAGGTGGACACACCCACAAAGTCAAAACAAAAAATATAATATACATTGATGCAGACTCAAGATTCTACTAAATAGAATGATACATAGGAAAAGTACTTCTCAATGGTGATTCTGAATAAAACAAAACTAAATATTAAAGTCAACCATCTGGAAAATTATGTTGATAATGTGATAATAAATTTATTAAATTAGTATAGACAGCAATTCTCTGAGAAACTATTTCATCACACTTGTGTGTCATTGATGTAACTGTTTCTTAGAAATGAAAGAAAGGGGCTAGCCAGTTCATGCATATTTAATTGTAATAATACAAAATGAAACAGATAATCTGGTTGTTTCTAAGCTTATCCTCTCAGCTGTTGGTATTTTTTTTTTTAAATATTGTGAACAGATGAACTGCATTTGTGATGCAAAGCTGAGGCGCGGAAAGGTCAGATTAGTTTTTTGCCTTAAAATGGACTTGCATAAAGTAAAAACACCAATGCCAATGGTCATACCATATAGAACACATTATTACCTCCTTACAGAAGTCATTGAAGCTATAAGACCAGTCTGCAGAAGTCCTTGCTAAGACATAGGAGGTAACAAAGTGACTCAATAGCTACACCCAAACCCAGAATGAGTCACTCAGCAACATGATAAGGAAGTAATTCCAAAAGAAAAGGAATCATTCTGTAATAATTGGAGACTTCTATAGCAATGGCAGAAGCTATATTTAGTTATGGAACACTATTCTGATGGTTTGCTGAGGGTGATAGACAAACATCCAGGATAACTCTGTTGGAATTCTGCAAAACCGCAGATGTGTCATATGTTACAAAAAAACAAAAAACAGACATTTTGGGCTTTCAAGACTCTTTGTCAGGTCAGAAAGCACTAGGAATTAGGTGCTGAGGAGAAAGAATCTGAAAAACAGTGACATCCTTACTAAGCTGGAGTGTATTGGCTGTTTTCATGGAAGAAAATCAACTTTTTTTAGTATACAAAAAGTTTGCGAAAAACGACATGTTTGCAAATTGTCTTCAAGTTATTTTCCACAATTATTGTTCGATTATGATAAAACTTTGCACACACATTCCCTGATGTAGTGGCTATGGTACGAACCAAAATCTTTTACCTAGGTGTTATACTTTTTTAGATATGTAGGGCTATGTTCTGCTGTTTTCTCAAAATTTAGCACATTTTTCAAATTTGTGTCATGGACAAACCATAATGGTTAGTAACATGAGACTGGTTCATACCATAGACATACATGTCTTTTAGATGCATTGAAAGTGTTACAGCTGTGTACTAGATACTTTGGTTTAAATTAGTTCTACAGTTGGGGTCATTTTTTTTATATCGCGGATGACTTACATTTTAAAATTATTTAAAAAAAAATCTTTACTTCATACGTAAACTTATTTCCTTATATTTGCCATATAATAGATTATGTAAGCTATACTGGTACCAAATTTGGCAACTGTAAGTCTAATAGTTTTTTTTGGTAAATTTTTTAGTAAGGTAACCATGTTCTGGGTGTATCTGCTTAATATGGTATGTTTCGAATTTTCAATTTCGCTGCATCTTTGTAGGCACAGGTTCTTACGCTTGGATGGAAGAAAATGTGTTTAAATATTTTTTCTAGCTAAAGCCTCCATTTTTGCTCCAGAAGCATTATCGTTTGTGTCTTGGAATCTGCGAGAAAGTAATGCTAAAGCAACTGGCAAGACTTTTATTTTTGTGTCAAGTTCAATTTGACAATGGAAAAAAATAGATTCATTGAACACTCTTTAAAAAGACTGAACAATAGGACTTTGCAAATGAAATAAAGATATTAAACCAACGCCAGAATACAAGAAAAATATGATTACATGGTCAAGCGTTAGAGAGCTAGACTGCTAACCCGTAAGTCTCGAGTTCAAATCCAGGTTCAAGTCAATAGACCGTCCGTGAGTCCACCCAACTGTGATAAGTACCTAACTCACGCTAAGGAAAGTTAAGGCGGCTGGGCATAGTGCTGACTACACTATCTCTTCATATGCCGAGGTCACAGGAAAAAGTGACCTTAATTTCACTTGCCCTATAGTCCGTCAGTTTAAAAGGAACTTTACTTTACAAGTTTCGAGCAAAAGAAGGATTTTAAAAACATCTGGACTAGTGTATTTGACAGAAAAACCAGAATATTATTGTACACAATATAAAGATGTACAGAAAAATATACATTAAAACAACCACATAAAACATTAAGAACCTGCATGTGAAATTTTTATTTTGAAACTACTTCACAAGCTTACACATTTTGGAAGGTCACCTCGATGTTTAAATTACGAAGGATCAAGATTCACTCGAGAAACTTCGTTAGGCGCAGCCTTGTGGAATCGTGTGACGTTTTGTAAAATATTATTCGTTATATTCGTAGAACCAACATTGTTAGGCCCAGTCTTGGGCACTTGTGTGTAGTTCTGTAAAATATGATCCGTTAGATTCGTAGGACCAACATCGTTAGGTGCAGTCTTGGCGTTTTGTGTGGAGCTCTGAAAAATGTTATTAAGTGCATTAGCACCAGAGTTGACTGATCGCTTTCTTGTCGGTACGGTATCCCAATGAAAGTCGACGTTTTTTCCCGAGATTTCTTCAAACTTTCCGGTTAGTTGAAAGACGTACCTGCTTTCGTTGGTTAAAAAGGTGATTACATCCATGACGATTGGATGTGCACTTTTCAAATCGGTCCACAACCAAGGATGCGAGATGGTATCGCTCTCTCTCTTCAGTGCTGTGTAGAATGGGACCTTAGAGTCGCCAAATCTGTAGTTAAAAGTTGGAAATTTTTTACTACCGCGATGCTCATAATGATAATTGGTGTCAGCACTACGAATCCCCAAACCATAACGTAAAATTCCTTGAAGCTCAGTAGAGAACTTAACTATAATTGTCGCAGTATAGTTAACTGAAGTTTTAGTTTTGGCCACTACCAGACGCCATTTGGCAGCTGAGTTCGGTGGTATGGTTTTTACACTAGTGACTTGAAAGGATTTCGTCTGCTCCTTTTTGTTTTCATCTGCTTGCGATGAACTTATTTCAAATCCAAACTTGAACCCACCAGAAACAGTAGGTCCGCCAGGCGGTGTGTAAGAGATTTCAAAATTTAGTTCCTGGCTGTTTTTCCAAGCGCTGGTTGTCGTATGGGTGACACTACTCTCAATGATTTCAGTTCGTGTGATAGTCTTGGTTGTACTAGTGGGGTCTCTATTATAAATCATTCCTGAGTCTATCGTTTCAGGCGTCAAATCTTCAATTAAAGGTGTTCCGTATTTGATGTCTTTTATACCAAAACTCCAGTCTCCATAGGCTAGACTGAGACGTTGATCATGCATATACCCATTACAAGGCTCTTCCGTGACAGAGAGCCATGTGTCGCCTTTTCTAATAAAATCCTCGCCAATGTAATCCAGTCTACAACCTCCACAATAAGCATAACCGAGATAATGCGCCAATACTGCAAAGTCCTCCATTGTAGTGTCCATGATGCGTGTCTTCACCTTATGGAGATCGTCCAGTACTTCTGGTGCTGACGCCGGCTTGCAACATCGCAAAGTCTGTATACAATAAAGTTTATTACAGTTCCCTTTGAACAAACCAGTGACATAGTAACCATCATTACATTTACACAAACCTACGTTAGCAAAACATATCCCAATATCGTGGTAATAGCAGTGACTATAGTATGCTGGGTGGTCACCTGGTTTATTACAGCGTCCCCCTTTTATGTTATGCAGAAATCCACGGTCAGCGTCTTTCGTTCTGTAAATACCGTTTAAGAAATAACCAGGAGGACAGCTTGACCAGGAGTTTTCTTTATTAAACGAGTTCCGCCAATTAGCAATCATTGTTTGTGTTCTAGATGTATCCCATGGTGAATTTCTCGAACAACATTCAACTCCTTCTATTAATTCTATACTGTCAAATTCAGCACCTGTGAAGGCAGCTCGATAAAAGCCAGAGATAAAATACTTTCGGCCATCGCACATTGAAGTTCCTCTTTTTTTAAATGCTTCCGCCCAGTTTGTTCTGTTACAACCAGCACTTCCAGTGTCAACTATAGCCATAAGCACAAAGACAAGAGCTGAAGACATCTTTTTCGTCCAATCTGAAAAACAGAAAAAAAAAATTACGTTGAGATAACAATGTATTATATAAGTGTTATATCAAATTGGAAACTATTAATTTTTCAGTTTAGCGGAAGTGGCACTTATTCTACTTTCAACTTTTCAAAAGCCTTTAACTTAATAAGTGTATTGTATAAATAAATAAAATTTCACTATTGATTAACATATCTAATTATCTGTCTTCTTTTAAATTTTGAGTAATTTCCGAGTACGGGAAGTAGTAATTTACGCTATTTACAGTTTCTCAACAAAAAATTGAATTTATGAAGTATTAATGTTGTGCACTATTACACATAAAATGTTTGCTGATCACTTGGTGGGGAATCTTTTTTTTTCAACAAGATTGTATTCTTTTTTTTTAAATTTAAATATTTAAAAAGGATCTTGAGTTGCGATCCCCCGTAGTGTTATATAAGAATATTTGAGAACGTTAGGGGAGATCACTTCGCTTTATTTTATTCTAATGTCAGAACGCAATTTGTTTATTGTAATAATAATGAAAAGTCGGACGTAGGTGCATTTTATTAAATAAAGTCAGTGACCTCTTGTCTAATGTGCGTTACAGAAATAAACCGGGAGTGATCTCCCCTAAACTTTCTCGAATATTTTTATATAAAATAACAGGGGATGGGAACTCGGGCTATAGACATGATTTTTAATCCATTTTTACAAGCTTTTATTACAAGCTTTTATTTAACTCACTTCCTCTGTCGTCAGTCTGTCTGTCTAGACGGAAACGCAGGAGTGAAAATTCGGACAGTTCTACTTGACCGATACGATTCACAGTTGGCACGTGGGTCAAGACATAAAGACAATGCAATCTGAAACTAAATTTGACTTAATTGGATGCCTAATTGATTTTTTATGAATTAATTAAAATTTGGACCGAATTAGTAGGCATGTCTAGCCAACCACACCACACGCGTCATCAATAGCTGCGCCATCACGACCACGTAATGGCTGCGTTCAAAAACCATTGCGCGCCTACTAAACGTGATATTCAGTAGGCGCGCAATGGTTTTTAGTCATGTAACTCTATTGTAGATAAAACATGTAAAGTACTGAAAAAAAATTCATAAAAAACGTTTTAATAACAAGCTTTTATGTAATGATGCACTAAAAAGTAGAAAATAAATTATAGACTACTATTTAAATAACTATAAAGAAAAGCGTGGGTCACTTTAGTATCTATTGGATACCTTTACTAAAGTTAAGGAAGACACCCACGCTTTTCTTTATAGTTATTTAAATAGTAGTCTATAATTTATTTTCTACTTTTTAGTGCATCATTACATAAAAGCTTGTTATTAAAACGTTTTTTATGAATTTTTTTTAACTCACTTCCTCGTCGGTCTGTCTGTCTAGACGGAAACGCAGGAGTGAAAATTCGGACAGTTCTACTTGACCGATACGATTCACAGTTGGCACGTGGGTCAAGACATGAAGACAATGTAATCTGAATCTAAATTTGACTTAATTGGATGCCTAATTAATTTTTTATGAATAAATTAAAATTTGGACCGAATTAGTAGGCATGTCTAGCCAACCACACCACACGCGTCATCACCTTCAATAGCTGCGCCATCACGTAATGGCTGCGTTCAAAAACCATTGCGCGCCTACTGAACGTGATGTTCAGTAGGCGCGCAATGGTTTTTAGTCATGTAACTCTATTGTAAATAAAACATGTAAAGTACTGAAAAAAAATTCATAAAAAACGTTTTAATAACAAGCTTTTATGTAATGATGCACTAAAAAGTAGAAAATAAATTATAGACTACTATTTAAATAACTATAAAGAAAAGCGTGGGTGTCTTCCTTAACATTAGTAAAGGTATCCAATAGATACTAAAGTGACCCACGCTTTTCTTTATAGTTATTTAAATAGTAGTCTATAATTTATTTTCTACTTTTTAGTGCATCATTACATAAAAGCTTGTTATTAAAACGTTTTTTATGAATTTTTTTTAAATACTTAAAGTTTTAAAAATAGAATAAAATCTCGTAGACAAATTAATTGCACACCAAGTGAACGCGAAATAAAAAAGCGCATAAATGTGCGCAATATTATTAGTACTTTTAAAATTTACATTAGTTTTTTGAGAAATCGGAAGTAGCGTAAATTACTACTTCCCGTCAACGGAAATTACTCAAAACTAACATGTGAAATTTCATTTATCTATCTGAAATAGTACTCAAGTTATAGGCTTTTGAAAAATTCAAAGTAGAAAAAGTACCACTTCCGGTTATCGGAAATCGCTCAAAAGTTGATACGGATCTACGATTTTGATAAAATACTTATATATGAAATTTCATCAACCTAGCAATAACGGTACTCAAGTTATCGTGTTTACACACGGACACACTGACACACACACACACACACACACACACACACACACACACACATACGGACAAGATTGCAAAATTATGTTTTTCCGTATCAGTGAGGTGTAAAACTTCGAGATTTGTAAAAATCTCGATTTTTTTTTTGCACGATTACAATACTTTCTCTATACTACGTATATACGAGAAAGTAAAAATGATGTTATTTTGGAGAATGTAAGGCCACTTTCAAAACAAAACTTTATATTTAACTAGCTATTCAAGCTTGTGTGTTCTTTGTGCAGCCTATACCTTGCATTGCATTAGAAAATATATTACTTTTTTTAAAAAAAGTCTATATGAAAATGTTTACGCTAGAGAAAATCACACAGAACCCTAAAACTAACAATTAGTCTAAAAGTGTCATCGCTTTTTTGACAACTTTTACCTACCCCCTCCCCTTCGTCACTCATCGTCACAAAAAGCAAGACCCCCCCCACCTAAAATGATGTCACACCTCAGCCTGCAACCACCCTGAAAATTGCAATTGAATATTTTTTAAACATCGAAGTTTCCCCAAAATCTCGTCTCAACTCTGTCAAAAAAAATATTTTAATCAATACCTATTACAATCTATTAAAACAGTTTTCTAAAACGCGAAATAACGTTTCAAATTCGTTTTCTAAAAGTGTGGAGTAGCACCATCTGAACCCCCCCCCCTTCCTCCTCATCACACACCGTCACAAAATTACGGACACCCCCTACGAGTGTGACGTCCTTTATGGACGACCCCATACTCAACCCTAACAATAACCAACCACAACCAAAAACAAAAACCGTAACCATAACCAAATAAAAACAGAAACACAACAACAAGCACAAACACAATCGAAATCGCAATCACAATGAGAATCTCAATTACGAACACAAACACAAATGCAAATTGCAAACGTAACGCAAAAGATAACACTAACGCAAACTTAACACAAACACATGCACAAACATTATGTAAAACAAACGTAAAAACAAACGTAAACACAAACGTAAAGATAAACGTAAACATAAACACAAACATAACACAAAAGCTACAAATACAAAAACTCAAACTCAAGCGTGAACGTAACGCAAAAAAAAACAACAAAGACATACACAAGCACAAAAAAAATTAAAAAAACACAAACGCTGACACAAATGTAAACACGAGCGAAAATACAAACTCAAACACCAACGCAAACAGAAGCACAAGCAAAAGATTTAACAAAAGCACAAGCTCAAAAAAAAAAAAAAAAAAAAAAAAAAAAAAAAAAAAAAAAAAAAAAAAAAAGCAAAAGCAAATGCAAAAGCAAAAGCAAAAGCAAAAGCAGAAGCAGTAACAGAAACAGAAACAGAAACAGAAACCAAAACAGAAACAGAAACTTTTAGTCACAATCGTGTATTGTAGATAGGCTTTTTTTAAGTCAATGTTAAGCATTTTTCCTAATATCAAGTCTTATGCTTGTGAACCTCATTAGAGGGGAATATTTACAGCATTGGGTTTTTTTTTTTGTTCATTTAATTTAAGTTGTTATTTATACTTGACCCAAAGCTATGGTTTATTCCAAATTGGGTTAGGTTGGGTATTTATAATTTTTATTAGTTGTATCCTTTCGGCTTAAGTTATTAAGCCAGGGATATAGTTTATTTAGGCTTGACACTACGTTATGGTTCACTTCTGGCAGTTGGGTTAGGTAGTGCATCAGTCATTTTTATTAGTGGTATCTCTTTGGAATATGTTAAGGCAGGAATAATGTTTATTTAGACTTAACCCACCGTTTAGGTTCACTTCAAAGTAAATGTTATAATACTGTTTTAATGCCATTGTAGTCGACCATTCCTTCCTGTGGAGATTTTTATTGAATCCCCAATATCTATATGCAGTGAGAATTGCGCTATACCGGCACTTATCATATTACTCACGCTTAGTCGCTTCGCCTAGATTTAGAAACTAAATGTGCAGCGGACCTTAGTTTATGACATTACTAGTTATATTTTTATCTACAACTAATGACGTTATTCTGTTGTGTACTTTTCGTTTCAAACTTTTTGGCCTAAGTTTCGTATTGATACGATTATTTATTCTTAGTTTCATGTGGTGTCATTCTGTATAGGCTAACTGTGAAGGTTTTTAATTTTTTAGGCTTTTTACTATATGCATGTCTTCCACAAATTACTGAGACACAGAGTCAATTTCATCTTTATATATTAGATGAGATAAAGCTCATCACTGCTAAATCGAGAAATACCAAATTTGAACCCTCTTGTATAGTTTATTCTGATGGAGTAACACTAGAAAAGGCATGCCAAACGTGCAAAACAAGTTGTAATTACAAACTTGAAATTTCAAGGGATCTAAAACC